TAGATTGATCTATATGTTATCCATTCTATGTGTTAGACTTACGATAAAAGTAAAGGTGGGGATACCAGAGAGCTTCAAAGTAGGATGGTACCCCCCCAAAAAAACTGGGTCGAGTCACCTTAAATAAGTAAATAATGCCCGCGCCCAAAATTAAATTGCGCGCTCACACGTACCAAGATACAACTGAAATAAAAATCCAAGTAATAACTAAGCAATGTAAGGATACGATGTTGCAATTAAGCCTGGATTGCCATCTCATCTCCTGCAGAGCTGCATCATACTTCTCGACGATAAGACCATGGCTAAAATCCCCACACAAACCTTAATAATATTTCTGTTACGTATCAACGACCACTCGTGAGCTTGGGGCACCTGTGGTTCAATGCCCCTTTTCGTGATGCTGAAGATATTGCTCAAGCAAGGGAGACATAATGCTGATTGGTCGATTGTCGTGGTGATGACTTGTAATACTCTACTTCAGGGGCGGATCTAGGGGGAGGGTGCAGGGGGTGCGCACCCCCCCCCCTGAGATGACCTGCGGTTTTCTAATACAACTGGTATTTTCCAAAAAAAGTATGTGGTTTATTGCTGTTGAAGTAGAGCAAGAGACGAGTGCACCCCCTCCTAAAAAAAATCCCGGATCCGCCCCTGCACTTACATCTCAAATACTACCGGTTGCTATGACAACACAAAGTAACAAGCCATTTCTTCCAGAGACAAACTGTTGCTATGCTTTCCCTGGCGCCAAAATATTTTACAGTATGTATATATTTTAAAGTCGGTTTCTATTGTGATCTTGACGTAATAGTTTTATGCTGCTAACAATACTGTTGCTATGATAATTCTGACGCACAAGTCAATTTTGCAGAGACGGCATTTTTATCAAAATCAAATAATAGTGTTAATAATGATAATAATAGTAATAAACACCATTTGACTGTCAATGTATTTATAGCTCGAAAGTATTAACTGACGACCTTGTTTTTACGTCTACTATTGGAGGCAGGCCAGGGCCGCCATTTTACGTGCTCATCCGAGCGAAGCGAAGGTCTAGCCGTTTGCAGGGCAAGGGCAGTACCTTCATTTCTCAGTTATTTTTAATAAGACACTAAGAATTGATCCGACCCTTTTTGGGTCGAACCCGCCTTCTTCCTCCCTGCAGTTTAGCGCTCTTAGCCTACCGCGATTATTACGTCGTTCTGGTGTCCTTAATGGGGAAGAAAAAAAACATTTAGTATCCTAAGGCAAAGTAAAAACACCTTGTGATGAACATTTGAAAGTTGTTAAAGAAGGTCATTTCTTCTTTTTTTTGCGGCTAGAAATTCTGAACAAAGCTGATTGATCAATTGTCGTGGTGACGAATACCGTACTTGCGTCACAAATATAAGTTGTTGCCATGACAGAAAACTAGTTACTATAGCAACCCTATGGTAAGCCTTTTCTTCCAACGACAAACATATCTGTTGCTACGCTCACCGTGACGAAAAAGCATCCCACTTCGTGCCATTGCCATGGTGAATTTAATGGAGTTTACAGTTTCTAAGCATTCCTATGGTGAATTTGACATAATACATTTATGTTGCTAACATTTTGGGTTTTTCACAGTTACTAGGGATTTGTTGCTATAAACAACGCGCCAAACGGGCATTTATACCTCAGTTGACCTCATGATTAACCGACAGTTCCTTCTCGGTGTTAGCTCGAAAAAACCAGGTACCATGAACTCCTTTGCTCAGCGACAACGGAGAAAAATTCTTCCTCGCCTGTTGTTTAAACAACAAAGTTCCAAGAAA